AAAACCAACAGAGCCTTTGTGTAGCTTGAGCTCAATTGTGTTACAAGGACCCTTGTCTTCTTTGCAATTGGAAAACTTCAGTAGCTCTACCTTGATGGAAGATTGGCGATGTGATGTAAGACCTTTATCTCCTGAGACAATGGCTTCTGAAGGAGACCTTAGGCACTTGTCTCCTGACTCACCTGTTCCTCAGTTCATTTGTTTGCATACTGATTACATTGTGACAGTGTCAGGCAGCAGGTCAGTAACACCAGAATCCTCCCTATCAGATTGGGAAGACACTGGTTTTTATTTAGAATCTCTTGTTGATGATTTCAGACCAGAGTCTCCACAGTCAGTTGAGTCAGACATTGAAATGGACAGGTTGCTTAGCGTCACGGCATTGTCCCCAGACTCATTATCCTCAGAATTGGAGTTTCCGCTGCTCACAGATATGTTTACTGATCTTAGGGCTTCCTCACCAGAATCTGTGGCCTTAACTGAAGGCATGGTTTTGTCTACTTTCATTACATTTGGTCAGCACTGTAATTATTACCTAAATTATTCAGATAATAGACCAACATCACCTTTGTCAGTAACATCAGATGAGGAGGAATTAGACCTTTGTCTGAAAGACATGTTTGATGAAAACAGAGCAGATTCACCAGATTCACTTACTTCTGGTTTTGAGGCTAAAATCTCAGGCGCACGTATTGCACATTCATCAGTTGGGACTGCTGCCAAAACTCTTACATATGCTGATGTTCTTCAAGGTATGACTAATAAAAAAACACCTGAGGCTTTGTTGAGCTTGAGCGACTGTGCACTGTTGACTTATCAGCTGCCGTCCTTTCAAACTCCCACCAGACTTTCAACTGTTGTTGACTTCGCTCAGAGTAGCACTTTTGAAATGCAAGAAAGGTTGTTGGACAACATTTTTCCCTCCACCGGTAATGTTTTTATGTCCGACATCAAACATTTTTCTTCTAACAACCTTTTTCATTCTCATCAGTCAAAGACAAATTACAGCAATTCATTTATATCAAAAGTTTATGATCCACTTTATAAAGGGCATTGTCTTTGCTGTTCTGTTTGGCTAACTCAAACCTGTCAAAATGCTTAGATTATCATTTTCAATCTTTAGTAAAATTTTTCAAAAGCCACTTTTTTCTTTTAATTTTTTTAATCAATTTTTTCTATTGTTTTTCTTTTCCTAATAGCTATATCAAGTCTTCATGTTTTTTCCAACTATAAATAAATTATTTTCTTTGAGATTATTAGTCCTAAACCTAAGATAATCAATATCCTAATTGGCTTTTCACTTTATTTATAAAATTTATGTTTATTGAAACAAAATGTATTTTTTTTCTACGCTTTTTGTTTTGTTTTGTTTCACACTTTTATAAAATCACATCGGACTATCAAGTATTCAGGTTTTTTAAACAGCCATTTTGTTTTAAATTTAAGTTGCATAAAAATAATTTTAAACATATCTAGATAGTCCACCATTCACCCTGCAGGTCTTAATGCTGAAATTACATTTTTTGCTCTGATGCAGTTTTGTGCATTGTTTTTCACAATGTTTAAGTTTGACCATCATTAATCTGTGACCATTCATCGGTCCTGAAGCAACCTGCATGTGCAGCATAAGACTTGACGTCACACACTGCACCGTGTGTTTACAGAAGTAAATATAGATGCTACACTTGTTAAAATGTGTATATCAATTCAGATGTTGTGCAATAGAGATGATTAAGTATTATCTGTTATGATGGTTTCATCTACCTTCATTCTCAGATGCATAATTGCACTTTGGGAATGGCAGCAATGGGAGAATTCTTCACTGCAGTCTCCCATCCTGAGAAAGCACAAAGGCAACTGTGGAAATGAAAATTTCCCTTTTAACAGGAAAAAAACAGCATAACCAAGCTCAGGACGAGCAGCCATCTGCTTCGACAAGTTGTGGTTTGAGAGGACAGGAAGGAGAAACGAACACAGAATGAGGTCCACATGTAGTTTCTATAGGAGGAAAGGCAAAAGAAAAAAGTATTTTAAGGTAGATATAATTACAAATACAAACAGAGTAGAGCAAGTAAAGACCACAGCAGAGTGAAGAAATAATAATATAATAATAATAATTTATTCAATTTGTACTGCATTTTACATTTTAAAATCTCCAAGTGTTGCAATATAAAACAACTAAAGAGAATAAAACATGGACTAAAAAAGGACTAAACATTTGTTAAACTAAAAACAGCAGGATACCTTTAAACACTATAAAATCGTTCAAATACAAAGGTCTTCAGTACTTTCTTAAAACTTTCTGTAGTCTGGAGTATCCTTAGATGGTCGGCAAGGGTGTTTCACAGACGAGGAGCAGCAGAGCAGAACGGAGGACTTGTGTTGATGTCTGAGCAGTGAGCAGTTCTTTAAGATAGTATGGAGCATTGCCGTGGATGGATTGGTGGGTGAGAAGGAAACCTTGTATTCAATACGGAGTGAAATGGGAAGCCAGTGGAGGGATTTAAGGATTGGGGTGATGTGATCATGTTTCCTTTGCTTCTTCAGAATCCTGGCTCACTGTTCTGTACATACTGAAGTTTTTGAATGTGCTTGTGGTCAGTTTATCCTCCAGTAGTCTTAGCCTATAGCATTATAACAAAGGGTAGCTCAGGAAACCATAGCTATAGGATTTATCAAAAAGAAAAGACTTAAGCCTAATCTTAAAAGTAGACAAGGTGTCAGCTTTACGGACAGAAACTGGAAGTTGGTTCCGCAAGAGAGGAGCCTGATAACTGAAAGCTCAGCCTCCCATTCGGCTTTTGGAAACTCTAGGAACCACAAGTAAACCTACAGTCTGAGAGCGAAATGATTGTGATCTTGAACCCATGATCATTCAGATAAACTCAAAATTCCCTCTAATTTTTTTAAAAGTTTATTTTATCAGAATTGTTTTAAATGTTCCCTTAACCTCACAGTAACTTTACTACCCTCCACTGTTACTTAGAGGAAAAATCACCCATGTGGAAAATCCATTATAAAAGCCTTTTTTGATCACACAATTATCATATCATAAAATAATGCATTCCTTTCAGTGATTTTTTTTTCCATCTTCACACTTTTAATTTTTATACTGGCTCACTCGGCGATGCTTCACTTTTTTACATTTGATAGCCTCTAAAAATCACTGAGACATACTTTCACTTACCCCAGAAGACGTACATCTTGTACCAAGTTCCACTTCTCATCTTGTCCAACAAAATTGTTTTAATTTGGATGTAAATAGCTAAAATCCACATTTGCATGCTGCACAAGCAAACATGTAGTACAAAAAGAACAGTTCCACATGCATGCAGGCTAAAGAATCAAATGCTCTATGACTTAGAACAGCTGACGCCCCTTGGTTTGACTGAAATCAGGATGTGAATTGTGGATACATCAGGCTGCAGCAGCCAGCAGTATATCCTGTTCAATTACAGTAAAAAAACTAAATATCAAGT